AAAATTTCATCACAGCTTGAAAGAGCATCACAATATTAGTAATATTCCGAAGTTTCGTTGCGAAATGTTGTAAAATGCGGATAATATAGCCCTGCGAAATTTGCAATTTTCAGTCATTTTGTATTACAAACGGGAAATTGATGCCCCCAACACCCGATTGGGCTGTCAATTTCCCATGCGTAATACAAAATGACTGAAAAAACGGCAAATTTCGCAAGGCTATATTATCCGCATTTTACAACTGATTTCGCAACGAAACTTTGGAATATTACTAATTTTGTGATGCTCTTTCAAGCTGTGATGAAATTTTTGTCCAGATCAAAATTTTAGTTATAAGGGGAAAGGTCCATTAGAACATTGTATAATTGTGTGTACTTACAATTTCAAAAACACGGCGAGATAGTCAACACAGGCGCATGTGCTGAAGAAGATAATAAGCTTCTTTTCCTAAATACAGAAAAAAGCTCATTGCTTTCACTCAAAATATTCCAATAGTTACAATGGATGATTCCAGGTATATAGACTAAATTTTGATCAAGGCAAGAAGAATGAAATCCAACACCACAGCTAGAAAGAGCGTCTTAGAATGAGTAAAACTGCAGAGATTGGTTGCTAAATGTTGTAAAATGATGAAAATATAGCCCTGTGAAGTTCGCAAATTTTGTATATATTTGTATTACGCGCGGTAAAAATAACCACTTTGGGCTCAAAAATGGTCATTTTTCCTGCGCAATGCAAATATATATATAAAATTTGCGAACTTCGCAGGGCTATATTTTCCTCACTTTACAACAATTCGCAACCAAACTTTACAATCTTACTCATTTTAAGATGCTCTTTCCAGCTATCTGTTAGTCTATGTTAATGGTTTCGTTCTTCTTGCCCTTATCAAAATTTTGTCTATAGGTGTAGCTGAAATCGTCTATAGGTGTATATAGCATATGATATGAAAAATCTGCAACAAAATTTGATACATAATTTTAAACGCTCTTTCAAATGAGACACACTAATTTTTTAGTTCCAATGTCCTTTGAATATATTCTCAAATTTCAGAAGTACCTTGTTTTTTCTCAGGATTGAAACGAGGCGTGACATTTTTTCCTCTGGCGAGACAACCTATATACACAGGGCATAAATCTAAGATAAGAATCTCTCGAAAACCAGGTAAATTGGCAAAGTTGGACAGGTCTAAGTCTTTATACACATACCAAGTAGTAATTTTCCAGCGATACAGGAGTTCTTTGGTTGACCTTAGAACAGTTTAGAGATAAAAGTTGCAATTGAGTTAATTATTTGGTTGGTTCTCTGTGTCGAGTATTTGTGCAAGGTGTTTTACCAGGTTTATTTGTTTCAATGATTTATTATAAATGGCCTCAGAGTTACATAGCTCGTGTTTCCATTATCATCATGAGGTAATATGAGTTGGATTTGGGTCATCATTGGCCAAAAATTACTGAACTTAATCAAGAATTCTGAATGTAATATGTCAATCAAACTTGAACAACCAACCTTCTTTGTGTTATTTTTCTCTTGGACAGTGATACGGACAGGATTGCGCAAGCCAGCTCTAACAAGGGCTTCAAGTTCATCCGTTTGAGTGGCTGAGAATAATCCCTATATCGAAAGATTGTCCATATTATTGGCACTATACGTAAGCTTGTTCATATTATTGGCACTATATCTACACTAGTCTGGCACAGACGGTTTAAGTTATAGTAAGTGCATGTCACTGGACATTATTTTCAAAATCCTTAAAATAGTATGGAGCTGAGTTGGAAATAGTATGGAAATCCAATTTTCATACTAATTGCAATTTCCATACTGCATGTGGATATAGTATGGAAATAGTATGAATACACTATGGATATAGTAAGGGCATCAAATTCGCAGTATCCCGATATCCCGGCGATACCAGATTTTAACTTTGGATGCTGGAAATCACAAGCTCAGTATCCCGTAATACAAGATAAAAAAAGTGAAACCGATCGAATTTGACCGAGCAAGAAAGATATGCTCAAAATAGTGCCAAAGCCAATAGTCTGGCAGATAGAAGGAAAAAACTTACTATATCGTGGGACAATTCCATTTTGCCTTCACATTGTGCCCAGAAGACTAGTAAGTACGTTTCTGTATGTTGGCACTTGTGGGCTCCTGCCGAATTTTGTATTAATTAAACTCTATTACAGTTAACAAATGTGAAATTTCGAATACATTTCTATTAAACACAAATGACTTACATAATTTGAAAGCTTGCAAAAAACTACATGTAAGACATTTAAACGGTTACCCGAGATTTTCAAGTTCTTCTTTAGTTATGAGCTGTTGAATGCGTGTTTTCAGACTAGTACCCAGGAATTTTGCGAGATTTTGGCTTATTTTTTCACATTTGAAACAGCAATAACTCGAAAACCGCTTGAAAATCCCAACTGACCATTTAAATGTCTTATATGTAGTTTTCTGTTAGCTTTCTATTAATGCAAGTCATTTGTATTAGAAATGTATCGGAAATTTCACATTTTTTAACTGTAATAGAGTTTAATACAAAATTCGAAGAAAAACGTGTCGGCAGGAGCCCACAAGAAATTTTAACGCGGCCAACACACAGAAACGTACTTACTAGCCTTCAGGGCACAATATGAAGGCAAAATGGAATTGTCCCACGATATGGTAAGTTTTCCATAATTTTGAGCCTCTATCTGCCTGACTACAAGCAAAGTATGAAGAAACAAAGCGTTGTCAAAAATTTAAAATGGCCTGAAAAATTCCTTTCCATGGGTAACGTTCGTGAATGAAAAGATGTTTTGCAAATGTGGGATACTATAAGATTTTCTGGGTGGATAGACCAGATTTTAAGTTGCTAATATCCCGTTGGATACTGCTGAAAAAAATCAAATTTGCCTGATTATTTTCATCCATAGTATATCCACGCTATTTGAGACGGCCCGACTCAAATAGTATGGATATACTATGTGGATTTAGTGATGAAATCGCAAATTCCGTAGTGTGAATTTTACGTGCTAATCATCATTACTTGTAGCTGAGAGCTAAGTAGACTTGCTCCAAGTCTCTCTTTCATTGTCATATAGTATCGATCCACTATAGTGTACATTACATGACGTAACACGGAGAGGCGGAGCGAGAAAGAGAGACTTGTCAACTTCGGAAAATCTCGGTTCAAAACTGAACCGAAAATGCAAGACTTGCTTTAATTGTTTTCTGTCAGTGTTTATATGTATTGATCTAGCACAGTGTAAATAACATGAGTTCCATTATAGTAAATAATACAGAAAGAAATTGAAGGAAGACAATTAAAGCAAGTCTTGCATTTTCGGTTCAGTTTTCAACCGAGATTTTCCGAAGTTGACAAGTCTCTCTTTCTCGCTCCGCCTCTCGGTGCTACATCATGTAATGTACACTATAGTGGATCGATATGACAATGAAAGAGAAACTTAGAGCAAGTCTAAGAGCTAAGCTGAATTAGCCATTCCGAAGTTGATGAGAGGACTGGGGACGAGTGTTAAAAAGTGCCCAAATTAAGAAATGAACCTAATAACTAAAAAGACCACCTCAAAATTAGTAAGTACTCAAAGTTTGAAGACGTTTACATGAATACCCTTCGAATAATAAGCTTTCGAAAATTGTGAAATTACTGATTAAAAGATAATTGTTTTTGGGACGCGCGTCCCCAAAACAAAAATTACAATACATTTCATAGTAAATATCACAATTTTCGAAAGCTTATTATACGAAGGGTATATTCATGTAAACGTCTTCAAACTTTGTATACTTACTAATTTGGAAGTGGTCTTTTTAGTTATTGGGTTAATTTCGTAATTTGGGCACTTTTTAACACTCGTCCCCAGTCCTCTCATCAACTTCGGATGGCAAACTCATGTCTGATCCAACATGATCTCTTCTCAAAATTAAGGCTATGTCTTAATTGTTAAACTTTTGAAAATTAAGGATATGGCTTACTGATTGTTAAACTTTTGAAAATTACTGTGAGGATATGGCTTAATTTTGAAATTCTTTTTTTTTTAAAAAAAAAAGGTCGCCAGATTTGGACTGGATTAGGGTTAGACTAAGATTAGATTAGGGTTAGACTAAGATTAGATTAGGATTAGGGTTAGACTAAGATTAGATTAGGATTAGGGTTAGACTAAGATTAGATTAGGATTAGGGTTAGAGGTTAG